ACAGCATCAGCAGTGGTGCTGTGCTTTTTGCCGCGGCCGCTTCGTGGGATATGGTTGTACAGTCCCGGTGGTATTGGCCTCGGAAAGAAGAAGCAACGAAAGAAGTTTGATGGTACACACACACTCGTGTCTCCTCTCGAAAACAAAAACAAAGACCACGCAAGTTCCTCCGACAATATCTGCGATGCTCTACTGGTGTGCATGCAAACAAGCTTCCACTTCTTGATAAATGCCTTACACGCGTACAAAACACAGACGGATGCGTCCCGTTGTGCTACTGCAAACGTCCCGACATCGAACAACGACACATTTCTCCGAAAGCAGGCGCCGCGCTCTACCCTGTCGGAGACGATCGGACGAACCGGCTTGCAGACTACACACACCCGTCGTCGTTCTCCTCGACATATGCACCGTCCGGCTTTTCGCAGTACCTGTCGTTGAGGAAAAATGGACACGTCAACGTGTTGGAACACTTGCCCGAAGATGGCGCCATGCACCACGCGAGACCCCGGTGTTTCCCTGAAAACTGGCATCACAGGAATCGCTGAATAAATAAATATTACAATTTCATCATATACTATTATACAATAATACTGGTATTTTTCATATGAGCATTGTATGTAACAACGTCTGTGTCCTATTTACAGCAGTCACCTGAACAGAGCTTTCCGACACACACGAGTCTTCGTTGCCGCCCTCTCTCTCCGGATCGGCACCAGAAGCGCACCCGGGGCAGCGGCCGTCGCAGCAGAACGGGTGGCCCATCCCCACGACACAGCATGAACCGCATCCACCTGCAGCATCAGTTGCCGCATCCCGCGGAGCCCGTACATTTGTTGTTGGGTGAAAGAGGGACCTCCGCTCCCTTTGTCACGGAGGAGTGTGGTCACCATGTCCAGGGCCGTGGTTTGACACATGAAGTTGCCTTCGTAGTTTATACGGGTGAACGTGAAGTCCGTGGTCGCTCCGGCGTCGATGAGCCTGCGCATGACCCTGCGGGAACTTCCCCTCAGGCTGTCTCTAACCAGACACGATAGCAGTGGCTTGCCTATGGAGCCAACGGCGCTGTTGGCATACGAAGATCCACCGCAAGAAAAATATTCCGCCGCCCGCTGCAGAAGAAGTTTGACCGTCTTCTCTCCTCCGTGCATGAGCGCCGCGCAAAGAGCCAGACCGGAGCTATCCACCACTCCTCGCTCGTGTAGGATGTGCAGAATGTCAAGATGGCCGTTTTGAGCAGCGAGGCGCAGAGCTACCATTCCGCCGTCGGAGCCGCCGCACCCCTCGATCCCCACGTCATCGACCAGCTCGCGTACGATGTCCACGCGAAATTTTTCGGTCGCCACATCGAGAGGCACGTAACCCTCCATGGTTGCAATCATTGGATCGGCCTTGTGTGCAAGAAGGATCTTGACCGCCTGCAGCTCACCTCTCTCGGCCGCAAGATACATGGCCGTCGCGCCGTCCTCCAAGCGGCGATCCACGTCGGCGCCTGCGTACACAAGCACCTCCATGACTGCACACCTTCCGTTTTGTGCCGCTAGGTGCAGCGCGGTGTATCCACCAGAAGTGAAGCAAGACAGTCCGACATCAGCTCCAGCCCGTATCAGCATGAGGCTGACAACCACGTGACCGTTTCTGGCGGAAACGTGTAGCGCCGTGACACCCTCGTCTCCCATGATCCCGGCGATAGCTCCTTTGTGAAGCAGGAAACTCACGATGCGCGAGTATCCACCGTCGGCAGCGAGCATCAAAGGCGTCCAGCCTTCCGGAGATCCTTGGTTGATTTGGACGGATCCTGACGACACGATCCCAAAAACTTGTTCGAAGGATCCATCGTTGGCGGCCGAGTGCAGAGCAGTCCATGGGCCCCGAGGGTACTGCGCAAGAGGAGAGTCCATCGTGGCTGCGGGGTGTGTGTGTGTGTGTGTGTGTGTGTGAACTAATCGAGAGGCGTGGCTTCCACCTGGGCGCTGGGCACGATGACTTGCTATTTCTGGAATAGATGTATATAGTGCTGTCGGAATTGACCAATCAGGACAAAGGACAACGCAAGCATGCAGCAAAATTTTGGGATGGAAGATCGGGGACGTTATGAAGGCCGAGACGTGAAGCGTGCCTGAAAAGCTCGCCCTGCTGCGGCTAGTGGTGCGCGTGGTGCCGCTACTGTTGCTGTAGTGCCTTTGTGATGTTGGCGCTTCCTTGAAGAAGTGTTCTGGTGGTTGGGGGTTTCACGATGTGTTGCTTTCTGGATATATAATGAAAGTGTTAACGGTATACGACACCGTGTTCTGTTCTCATGAACAACCAGAGCAACCCACTTGGTCTAGAATGGTTACCGATGCTCATACTATACTCTAATATCGGGAGAAAGAATACCTCTCACGAGAAACAATGTGAACTCGGCGAAGAGCTAAGGAAACTCGACGGCAAGCACGAACGTGTCATAGAGAATATCAACAACAACATCGACTCTTTGATACAAAATAGAGACTTGAAGCTATCCAAGGATGACATGGAGGACCTCAAGGGCAGAATCGTTCTGAAGCTCGGTGAGAGTGCTTCAAATAGAGGATGTGATTCGGGTCCCGTCGTCTGCACTTCTCAAACAATCGAGTTTGACGAAGCTGCCAAGCAAGTGCTACGCGACGTGGTGAGAGAAGAGATAGAAGGTGTGCGACCCGCTTCAGACGACGATACTCATATAAACGATGTCAAACAGACACTAGCCACCTTGTCGCAAACAACATCGGCTGGATTTCATCGGCTGTCAAATCTGATCACCACCAGACACACTTATGGACTAGAAGATCAAGAAACAAAAGAAGATATGGCTCCAGTACCGGAAGGGTATGATCCGTCGTTATATGAATCGGGGATTGAGAATGTCATAGAACTGTTCAAAACAGAGGATTCGCAGTTGGATATCGAAATACTAGATGAGAGTGATTTGACTAAATACGAAATTGCTAAATCGTTCTCTGAGTATAGAAGACGCGTCAATAGTCTCTACAACGAAGTCATGGATATCAAAACTATCCGAGACCTGGTGCAGGAACGAGTACGAACGCTGGAGAACAGATGGGACAAGCAGATAGAAGAAGAAGAACGGGTACGGCAAATCTCTGGCTTCCGTCGCTTTTTCACAAGTCGACTACAAACACCTCGAGCAGTAGCGGAAGAAAGAGGAAAAAATCTCACCAAAGAGATAGAAAGCAAGCTGCAGAAGGCGACTTCCCGAATTCCTACCGAACTGCTACCCATAGATATCCTCCGATACTTACATAGCATGATTATTTTGTGGACTAGTTTGAACCCAATCTAGAAATGGGTTTTACTCTTCTCGCAGGTCGCGAACTCCAATCATTGTCGACAGGGTGCCCAGATTGTTTCTTCTCCCTACGTGAAGGAAGTATGTCAGGCGGCAATGGCACATATTCATTGGTCTTTCTTAATGGGCGCATGATCCAATTCGCAACCTTTTTGGGAAATTCAGAACTTGCTAAAAGAGCCCCATAAAAGGAATCTGTAGCATATGTTACACCAACCCATACAACCAAGTGGACGGCTTCCAATGGCAGAACCATGGTGAGTCCTGAAATACCCACAAGGAGATGTAACATGTTCGCCACGGATTTTTTCTGTGTACCATTGTAATGTCCCGGTATGAAGTTGAAAATAATTCTACAGATCAGACAGATCACAGCGTACATGAGAATGTGCCAACTAACAACATGCTCGTGTCTGTAAAAAAAGCGCTCTCCCCGTACAGCGCCCATGATGCTTCTCCCACCCTGAACTTCCATACAAAGCGAGACATCGTGACCGAACCTTATGATGTCTGCGACTTTCATATCATGCACGTCTTCAACGTGATCCTTTAGAATCACTCTTGAAAAGTTCTCAAAATAACTTTTCCGACCCGCGACGCTTTTAATCGAATCACCAACATCCACAAAAAGCTTCCAAATAAGGCTCCCAATCCCAAGAGGAAACCGATCGGAGCTACCATGCTGCGCCTTTCTCGCATGATAAGCAAGAAAAATGTCAGGATAGGTTCCGTTCTCCACTATCAATGCAGCACACGTGACAGCAGCCCTCGCCATCTTATTCTGATTTCTATCGTTCGAATCTCGAGCCTGTTCGAACGCTTTCCACCCATCTACTTTGTCCCCCGCAACTTTATCAATCGAAGATGCTAGTTTGGTTGTCGCCAGATCGTGTAGATGTGCGAGAGCTGTGTTTGCGAGTAGAGTAGTGGTATGCATGGTGTCTATTGCCAGACAAGTGCCTTCTTCACCGGAACATGCAGTGTATTGCCGTCGTATGTCATGGAGTGTATCCAATTGTTTCAACAAAGTGCCCAGATCGCCTTCACCCTTCTCGCTGACGAGGCGTTCTCTGTGATTGATCAGGTCGGCGAACAGATCGGATATTTGACCGAACAGATTACTACCGTCCGTCGTAGCCAGGGATTCAAAAACCGCTATTGTGACATTTTCACGGTGGAATAAATTATCCGAGTTCCCGAATACAGTGTGACACAAATCAACGCCATTCTTTTGAATAACCGAATCGGGTGATTCCTTGAAATCGACGACTTTGCCGAGTTTCGCAAGGTCTTCCGTTTCTCGCTGCACGTTTTCATGCGTCTCCACAACAGAGGCCGGGGCATCACCGAGGTACGAGACGTCAATCGAGTCATCACCGACAAAATGGAGGTGTCCTCTACTGGCTTTTTCAATGAGCAAATCCGGGCTGAGTACCATGGCAACTTTATTTCCCGACTCCCGGCCAAGAATAAATTCTATGTTGTCGATTTCTACTCTTGAGGTGTAGTCTTTTACAGTGTAAATCACTGCGGTAGTGCTAAAGGTAGCATCATCGTTGACAGAACCCTCTAAGGCAATGTCCATGGGAAAACGCTCAAGAATATACGAACGCACTAGCCCAATCAATGAGTCCAGGTTTCTGTTGGATCTCACGTCTCCAAGAACCTCACTCATAAATTCATTTATCTTCTCAATGTCTTCCGGGGTATAGTCCAATTCCACGTCGTTCTGCAATGCGTACTGAAACCGAAACGGGGTGGACGAATCAGGGTATATCTCCGCGTATATGAAAATACCGTTAGCCTTCAGTATGCTGGATACTATATCCCATGACGTCGCCCATGAAACATCCATGCCAAGTGTGGAGAGCTTAGCCAAATCACGTCTACCGTCGTCAAACTCTCTTACCTCTGGCTTACTAGCCTGCACTTTGATCGACATTCGAGGGTACCGAGCCTCTATGTTCGTCGCTGCCCGGAACAACTCTTGATTTCTGCGACTTTCCGGATCCAAGAAATACTCAATATCGTTGGTTCCTGGTGCAACCAATTGTTGCAGCACGGGTGCCGATGGAAGCCATTTTCTCACGTTGGCAGAGGAGAGATCATCGGGAGCCACATGTACACTTGTTTCAAACCGAGGCAAACACACTTTCACAATGAGTTGCCATGTGAAATCGATAAATTCTTGTATCGTTTCAACAAGGTGAACCCTTTCCGATCGGTCTTTGTATGTCGGGTACTTGATTGTGTGCATGACATGGGCGTCGGCGATGACTTCAATAAAATCGGATGGTATCACACCCGGAGAAATGGTTGCAAACGACTTCCAATTATGGGAAAGAAAAACCTTGACAGTCAGTTTATTAAACAAAATCTGCGCATTGAATACGTCCTTATCGCTTTCATTGGGTTCTGGAAAAACCGTAAACTCTAGTCCAATGTCTGGTTTCTCGAGCTCGCGTCGGAAATACTGTAGGGTGACGTCGGTAATACGCTTTTTCGCGTTTCTCCCCAGACTCTCATTCAAGTCATCCATAGCGTTCTTTACCAGCATCTAAATAAAATAAAAACGCTTTTTTGCAAATTCAACAACGACGAGTGCTGTGGATCTCAGGCAGTCTTCTTGTCCCCCCCCGCAACCCCGCCCGAAGCCTGTATCGTCTGCTGTGGTGGCGCCACGGCTTCGAACGACGGGTGAAAGATGGTGGATAGGCGGTCGTCCGTGGAGCGCGCGCGCGTACAGTTCTTGATACGCAGGTCGGTGTCCAGGACGTGCTTCACCCGCTTTAACTTGAGCTTATCGTGGCGGACGGCGAAGACGAAGCACTCGGTATCCAGGTTGCCTTTGAGGTCGGCCGCCTGGCATCATTTAATGACGAGAATGAATCAACCACCATGCTTTTTTATAAGTGACACAAACATCCGTGACTTTATAACTCCAACAGTGAAATACTCACCAAACAAGCCTCGGATGTGACGTGGCTCACGTACTCCGCGACCAGCTGCTGCATACAACCCACCGTTTCCGGCAACGGGTGCTCGTCATCCCCGGCGCCGTACATCATCCTGCAACAACGGTGACGTGCGTGCACGTCGTTTACGAAACTATAATATTGTGCGGAATTTGCGGGGATACATGTGAGTCGAAAAACAAAGCAGTCACTCACGCTGAAAGGCTGTCCGCCATCGAGTCGCTACCTCCTTCCATTTCCGATCGGGTAGTATCGTGTGTGTGTGTGTGTGTGTGTGCTGTATGCGCGTGTGACTGGCGTGAAGGCAGGTCGGGAAAGGGGGTTCGCAACACCGGAATTGTATTATTTTTATTTCGGTCATCGCCCGTTTGCGTGCGGACTGACAAGATATTTTATGAAAAAGAACAACCAGACACAAATACGACACAACGTTATCCAAGGATGGTTCGAATTCGGAAGAACAAGGGCAAGTGGACGCGCGAAGAGCACGAGGCTTTCCTCAGCGGCCTATGGCAACACGAGTCGAACAGCCACGCCTTGGTGCCGACACGTTCTGCACTTCAAATCAGGACACATGCCCAAAAGTACTTTGACAAGATCGAAAGGGGGGAGAAGTTTCCCGCACAGGTGTGTGTGTGTGTATGCGTGTGTGGAGCCACAAACATATTTTTCTTACATCCGCCGATGTCAAGACTTACTTCTCGTGGTCACCTGCGTTTTTCGTATCGCTTCCCCCCCCCCAAACAACAACCCTCGTAGCCGTACCCGAGCCAGTACGACGCGGCGTCGGGAAAGTCTTGCATCGCCCGCGGGGCTTACGAATACGGTGCCGTAAATCAGCAGGATCAAGAACAGCAGCAACCGCAGCAGCAGCTACAGCAAGAGCACCAGGTACAGCAAGAGCAGCAGCACGGTCCGCACACAATGATCTCCGACCCACCAGTGAATTTCATGCAACAACAACAACAGCAACAGCAGCAGTGGGAGCATTGGAACAGGGAGCAAGATGAGCTGGCCGCCTTCGCCAAGTGGGATTTACTTTTCTGATCAGTATCATTACTGAACAACGGTGAGGATGTATGCATGAAGATCGGTGGAAAGCGGAAAGCCCGACACATCATTTTGTTTTTCCGACCCGGCATTCCGAAAAGGAGATAGATCTTGGTATTTTGCTGGTGGTATAATAAATATTGTCGGAAGGCTTTTGTTCCGGGAGGCGATGGTAGTATAGTTGATCACAAGTTTGTGGGACGCGCTGATGAATTTTGCAAGGTTTGATTCTGTGGCCGACCACGACATCGATAACTATTTATTTATATTGCTTGAAGAAGTAGAGTTGAAAAAATCAAAGGAGACGCTGGATATCAAGGTATTTGTATTTCATTCACTAGAATACCTCTAAGCTTCTTGACGAAAAACGGATGGTTATTTTCGTCGTACATCACGAGATACGCGCCATCCAGGCGTTCCATTAACGTATTGGTGCGGTTATACACCCTGATTCTGTGGACGACACCTGCGTTTTTTAGTATGAGCTTCCAGTACTGCCCCAGACCCTCATCCGTGTGGGTGATAGTTTTGTCGGTAAATGTTCCTTGTAATTTACCATCGATCGCCTTGGAAGCGTGTAGATTATAGAGTGTGCTCGACTGCGATGCCGTACCATACCTGTGTACCCATTTGTTGCCGACCATGACCTGAACTTCGGAGAAAGAGAGTTTGTCGCCTTTGTTATTGTTGAATATTTTTATGGCCTTGCATTTAGTACCAGTAGAAGTGTATTGGTTGAAAGTTTCGTCTCCGTTTTTCTTTTTCATGTAAGACACCCATTTGCACGGGTCGTTATTTTCATCGTCACTTCGCTTTTGTATCCGCTTCACGATGGCGTCATACGCGGCATCTTGCAATTTTTTTAACGACACGCCTAGATTGCCAGTTGTTGTGAGTACGCTGTCGCTATCATCACTGTAAGATATGCCCACCTTTCTGGAAATGATCAACGCCGACAGTATAATAATTTGTAGGATTATAATCAAGTTGATCAATATATGTTTATCCATCTTTATATGTGACAGAACCAGGCAACATAATAATCTACCTCGGGGTAGGCGTTTGTTTACGAAAACACTGTTTTCGTGTGTTTTCATTCAACCATGGCACCATACGCAATATAACACCTCCTCTGCCCCTATTTAAATAGAGCGGCTGCTGTAGACCCATTTTGATCATTGTTATCAACTTAAGCTCTCTAGAACAATTTGGCGAATCTTACCAACTCGAAACGATCTAGAAGAAAGACCACATTTTTCAATTTTATACGTAAACATTTGAGTGTATTGGTAGCCCACGCTGCTCACAATTCACCTTCACCATGGCAACCACCACTACAAATTCGAAGACGAAGAAGAAATAAAAGAGAAAGAAGAAGGCCGACATCACAACACGGCTACACGAGGTCTACAACATCAACACGCTACGAAGAAACGACGACAAGCTTTCGCAACCGAAGTTTCAACAAACGACTTGCCTGGAAACAGTGGGATATTCCGAGGTTTAGAAAACCCTAAAAGCTGGACCCTTGAGGAGACAACTTAGTTGTTTCTATCTGTTTTTGTTCACAACAACTTAATAGTTCCGGTTTTCTTAAGTTGATATTAGTGACTGCTGTTGCTGAAAGCAGACTGGTGTGTGGTATCGGCAGCACGAGCGCAGCAACCAAATACTTGAAAAAATCTGTACAGCAGTAAACTACAGCAGTGGCTGCTCAATAAAACATGTTTGTATCTCACAAAGCTGTGCTGCGTGACCTTGGCAACAGCTGCGCAGCAACACATGTCTATCTCACGGAGCGCGGAGCACGCCACCGTACCGTCCCCCGTTGTAGCACAGATTGTGGTGTATGTACAGGGAAGCAGACCTTCTCTACGTCACGCGCCAGCAGTCCTTGCCGCCATCGGCACTTGCACAAAGTTTCACCTAAATAATATTGCCGATCGACACACATCGGCATACATCGTGATCATAGCAATGCCGACTTGCGGCAAGTGTGCGGAGCCCTTCGTTGATCACCTGTCGATCAATGGCATCACGCTGACGCGCGTGTGCGAGGGGTGCCTCGTTTCCACGGAGCTGTTGACAAAGACGTCGGCCATGTCGCTTGGAGCAAGAGTCGAGGACCTCGATCGCCTCGACCATCGCCGGGAACCGAATCCGTACTACAGGAACGCCGCTTCGACCTATCTCTTTTTGGAGGAGGAGGTGAAATATGTCGCTGGTATCGCCAACGCGGCTAGAGAGCGGCGAGAATGCGCGAGAAAGTCAAAAGAAGAGATTCAATCCCGAGCAAAAAGAATGAAACATGATGATCGATCCAAGTGCCTGGAAAAGAGAATCCAGACCGCCACCTCAAGGATCAAGCCCGTAGGTCCCCCTACACCGGGGCTTGTGAGTGGCGACTTCTGTACGTCCGCCACAAAGACTCCGAAGATTTCTGTCGCGAAGCTCGCCAAGAGAGTGGCCATCTGGAGGTCGCTCAGCAACTTGTCGCTGCCACCCAGGGTAAACCTCTTCCGCTTCGGGTGTGCCAACGAACTCTACGCTCTCTCGGGGGAGGAGATCGAGTCAGCTGTGGCAAGTGCTCACTACTCTTTGGACAAAGTCGTGTTAGGCGAGGGGAACCGAGTACTGCAATTCTTAAGCCCGATGGAGCGCCTCCACGCGACGAGAGCGGTGCCATCCATGCACCAGGAACTCCACGGGTTGCCCGTAAGCGCCATGAGCGACGACATGTACGCGCTCTGTCAGTACACCAGTGTCAAGCTCGAGAAGATGCGATCGACGCAACCTGTCAAGAGGAAACGGCTGTTTGGCAGGAACACGCGTGCCGTGTGGAACGACGTGTACCAGTTCCTGTTGTCAAGGAGCGGCCACGTCATTCCGACGAAGATCGGGTTCTACGGTGTGCCACGAGTCTTTGACATGCTCTGCCGAGAAGCAGTGCATCGGACGAGAAGTGACAATGTCTACAACTGCTTCGCCAGGCTCGGAATGCCGTTACCTCCACACAGATTCCTGCAGACATTGAGCGGGAAGTACATCGGCAATGCTCGGCTCATGGATTTTCAGATGGTCGGAGAGACCATTCGCGTCTTCTGCGACGGGCTGATGTCGGGCGTCGACATTCCCCGGCGATTCGACCTGCTTCTCAAAGAAATGGGGAAAATGGTCTATCTCGAAGGCAAAACCTGGGCACAAGCCGCGGACGACGCCGCTCGGTCGATTTCTTCGGCGGATCCTGTACTGCCCGGACTCTGCGTCTGCGGGAATCCTGCCGCGATGAAGTGTGTCCGTAACAGATGCAGGACGTGCTGTCGATCGAACGACTCTGCTGTGGCGTGCCCTCGTCACAACAACGCATCGTAGAAAGCGTCCGTTCGTTTCCTGTTGTGCACAGTTGCTACTAATACTGCTGTTGCGTGTGTCTTTGTCTGTTTCTTGTATACTGCAGTATCGTGTGCTGCCGCGCTGGTGGATCGTGCATTGGTCTGGTGCTATCCAGTGGTGTCAGCAGGGGAAGCAGCGGCCGCGGTCACATGCTTTGTAACCTGATGGCGTCCAGAACCTTGCCGTTGAACTCGAAAGAACCGACGCTGACACGTCTTCCATCGTCTAGGTCGAAATATATCCTGGTGCCCTTCACATAGTAGCGTTCTACGACATGGCGAAGGTTGTCATCAAGGGTGACGTACATCTTGCTCCCCCTCTTCTGAAACAGACCCCCGTGGAACTCCCGCGGGTACCTGTGTACCTCCGCACGTACTTCGAAATCCCTGCTGGACCAATCCTCCATGTACCTCGTCTGCATCCTTTCCATCATTCTTTTGTGGGGTGGGATCTGGCGTACCAGGAGGTCAACCGGTTTAAACAGCAGACCTTTCGCCTCCGAGGCGTCGTGAACGGTCTTGGCCAGCTTCGCTGTTTCTCTCCCCAGAAATTCCGAGGAAAAATTAGAAAAAAGTCTCAGTATTTCCGCCATCAATTCGGACGAGACAGGGTTCCGCTCAAGACGGAACGCCCCCACGCCCGATCGGTCGATGCAGGGTGCCAGATACTCCATGTACTCAACAAAGTAATCTATCGGCGTCCTTTGGACAAAATCTGCAGTTTTCCTCATTTCTACGAACAAATTCCACTTCAACCTGTGTACGTCAATAGGGGTCGTTACCCAAGGAGAATCGGAATCCAGGTCCGTGAGGATGATGTACGTCAGCCTCAGTATATCGAGGGCACACTTCCCGAAAGCGTGGAGAGCCTCAAACTCCTGTCCTTCGACGCCAACCAAGGCTTCTGCCATGTATCTCCTGTGTATAGCGGAGATCATGTTTTTCTGAAAGAGCGTTCGTTTCGTGTCGAGGAAGATGCCGTCTACATTGACGAGCTCGTCGCAGTCGCTGCGGACGCGCATGAGCTTGTTTGGAATGACGATCTCGAACACGTGATCGTGGCCGGTGAAGTCACCCATCTGGACGGTCACCTCGATCTGAACCTTTATGTCGTCGGCCTCTTGTGCAACAAGAACGCGGAATATGTCGTTCACAATTTCCTGGTAAAAGATCCCCTCGACCCTTTCGCCGATGGACGAAGGGACGACCAATATCTCGTCTGGGTCCGACCCGGAATCCGTCCTGCGGTAGTAGTACATCGTTGGACGGACAGACTCGAGGCGTCTCTTCATCCTGTCTATCATCTTTCGAAATATGTACGGGGCGGCTCCGGGTTGATGTAGCACATCTTCGTTATCCCTGGACATGAGATCCTTCATTACGTGTTCATCAAAGGGACTGACCTGGTCAGTCCTGGGCACCCCCGGGGTTTCGGTATCGACGCTGATTATCTGACACATGAGATCGATGTCGTGAACACCCGGTAGTATGTGCGAGAACTTGGAGTTATCGTTTTCGGAGTGAACGTGGTACGAGGCTCCGCCGAAGAGATAAGTACACGTCTTGAAGTCCATTATCAGCGGTTGTCGAGACATCTGGTAGTCAACATCCCTGGAGCCTTGGACACGTGACCATATCCACGCGCGGCCCTCGTACCGGAGGGACGACATCTCTTCGGTGATGTCTCGCGCCACGTCGAACATCAAACTCCCCAACCCGTTTTTGACGCGGGGGTTCATAACGGAAGATATCATTGTCTTTAACTTGTCTGTTTTGAAGATAGAGACCTCGACTCTCTCCTTGAGTGGCGTAGTCATTTATTTGTATGTTACATGATGTGCAATATTATAAATTGGAAACCAAGTCACATGGCCGAGAGCGCCAAGAGCGCCGAGAGCGCCTGCTTCAATGCTCCAGAAACACCTCTTCGCACGGCACGTACACCCGAAAGGCACCCGTCGCCACCACCTTGTCGACACGGATCGACGTGCTCGCATACACGAGCTCGAACGATTGAGAGGAGCACGTCGCGTTGCTGGTGTATCCGGAGTCATCCGCGAAGACTGTGAAGATTCTGGCGTGATTGAAGTAGATGGTCTCGTTGCGGCGGCAAGCGACGAAGGGCATCACTGCGTGAATGCGAGTGCCATTCGCAAAAAGCTTGGATGTCAGTGCGTACTCGTGCTCGCGATCGATCGTCTGGTATACCGTGGTCTCGGGATCGGTCACTAATATCAACTTAAGAAAACCGGAACTATTAAGTTGTAGTGAACAAAAACAGATAGAAACAACTAAGTTGTCTCCTCAAGGGTCCAGCTTTTAGGGTTTTTTAAACCTCGGAATATCCCACTGTTTCCAGGCAAGTCGTTTGTTGGAACTTCGGTTGCGAAAGCTTGTCGTCGTTTCTTCGTAGCGTGTTGATGTTGTAGACCTCGTGTAGCCGTGTTGTGATGTCGGCTTTCTTCTTTCTCTTTTTTTTCTTCTTCGTCTTCGATTTTGTAGTGGTGGTTGTCATGGTGAAGGTGAATTGTGAGCAGCGTGGGCTACCAATACACTCAAATATTTACATATAAAATTGAAAAATGTGGTCTTTCTTCTAGATCGTTTCGAGTTGGTAAGATTCGCCAAATTGTTCTAGAAAGCTTAAGTTGATAACAATGGGATCGGTGGGTTTCAATAAACGCCACGACCCGTGCAGGGCCGCGACGTCGTTGTTGGTGGTCGGGAGTTTCTGGCAGACGCGATTTAGGTTACATCCGGGCGACTGTATGAATTTTTCGATGCTGAAGAGTTTTGGGAGAAAGGATAGGGCCGAGGACACCAGGGTTGTTGCGAGGATGATAAAGAGTTTCATTTTCATTTCATGTTTCAATTGCGGGGATGTTTGTTTTACGGATGGTTGTCCGCGCGCCGCAAAGCATCACTTCAAAAGAAAAATTCACCAAGTATCGGGTAAATCACATCAATGTGGAGAATCAGTGCACATATGATGACGCACACGAGGGCATTAGCCATCAACTCTACATTCGCCTCATCAAGTTCACGTTGTGCAAGGCGTTCTCTCCTTTCTTCTTCTTCTCGCCGTGCTTCCCGTGCTTCCCGTGCTCGACGTCGAATGAGCCATCCCGGGATTTGTCGACGCCTTACATCTCTGTCGATAGCCATCAGTCTGCGACGTTCGTGCTGTACTCGACGAACGGCGGACGCTATCCTCTCTTGATCGCTCGGGGAAACTTGTTGCAGAGACGATTGCTGTAGCCGCGGACTTCGTTGATTGACTTCGCGGATGATATCTTGCGACACATTGGCCACACCATTCATCCACGACGCGATGTTCCCCTGCGCCGTGAGACTCCGAATGTTCCACTCCACTCTCGGCCTCAGCTCGTGAGCAAGACGCTGTATAGACTGATCGAGCACGTTTGAGGCTGTATTTTCAGGACGAAAAAATTGCAGAAGAACCTGTTCAAAGACTCTTTCCAACACACGAACCTCGTGATCAGTAAGCAGGCGATGCATTTGGCGTGGAACGCATGTGGGGTGTTCGTTTTCAACATTGTACTCGAGGACGCAGCGGTTGTCTGTGGCACAGTTTTCGTGGCCAAGTTCGTAGCAATCTCTGGCTGACATTGCTTATTTTAGTTTGAGCAATATTTTTTCCTTCTTAAAAGACACACAGGTTAACGTTGTCACCGGACTTCGTCAGTGAGTTAGCAGATTAGTCTACGTGACACGGCACATTCAAATCATTCTGGGGGGAAGCACTGAGGACATACGAGGAGTTTTTCTGGTCGATGAAAAGAGGGACGAGATTTGCGGCAACGTTGAGCGAAACAAGCTTCACTATTTCAGCAAGCCTGTTGAACGAGCCCGTCGCCATGCCGCTGCCGCCGCCCGAAATCAGAGCGGCAATCAGCCTCAAAACATTCCAGACATATGTCATGGACCCGCCGGCAAGATGAGCTGCATGGGTCAGCAATCCTCGCGACTTTGCAACGCCGCCTCCAAGCAAACCTTTGTCGGACATTAGAGACACGAGTGAACTAGAGCTCAAGGCCACGTCCAGAGCTTGGACGGTAAGGTATATGAACGACCTATGAAGGGCGTCTCCGACTAGCGCTTTCCCCCGTTTCCAGACCTGTAGCTTGATCAATACATCGAAGCCCAGAAACAAGAGTGCAGGGAACGTGGCGCAACAGGAGATTTCACTGAAACTCATTTTCAGATACAGGTAGAACGCGATGCTCGTGACGCTCATCAAAACCCCCGTGTACAACTCGGGTCTCTTGTCTCTTAGCTTGTCGGCAGCCTCATCTGCCTCGTCGTCGATCACACAGGAGCCGGGCCTGACCCTTTTCCCGTAGTCGCTGTGCCAACCGAACAGCGCGACAAACAGAGCAGATATCACGACACAATACATTACAGTTGGCACGTGCCAAGACGTATCCTTGTTGCCAGAGGATTGCAGCAGTACCTCCATGATACCAACGAACGCCATGATGTCCAAACCGAACGCGAGCCCTCCCGTAAACAGGCCGTTGTTGCGGCAACTTTGAAATTTTTGTGGAGACCAACAGAGGTAGTAGCTGATCATGGCAAAAGGCACGCTGGTGGCCGCCAACGTGATCGATCCACTCCTCACCCCATAAGCCGCTACCGCCGCCAAGACGGTCCCCAGTCCTCCAAAAACAAGTCTGCCGATCGTATCATCCAACGTCTTGGAGGACGTGATCATACTGGTCAAGCAGTACTCTTCGGAGGAGACCCGTGAGTGGTCCCAGAACGAGCTTCCATGGTCGGCAACCATTAATAAGAGCATTATCGACATTTGAGTGGAGGGCGACACTAGACCGGAAACGGCCCACTTCCTTCGAGTAGACAATCCGTATCCCACTACCGAGCACCCCAAAAAAAGGAGCCCTGGAGCCACATACCCAGCAATCGCTGCCGGAAACACCGGCCTGAAAGCTTTCTTGCACGGCTTGGCCGCGTTCGCAGCCTGTCTCTCGGCCAAGGTTTCGCACGCCATTGACATACATACACTAAACTCACAAAAAAAATTACGAAAACTGATTGACGGTATGTTTCTTGTACAGATCCATGAACGACGCAACGAAGGCCTCGAGGTGCAAGATATCCTTCGACCCAACGCAGATCCTGTGCTCGTAAACCGCGGCCCACCTGACGATCTCACGCTTGACGCCACCCTCCCCCCTGAGACTTTTATGAGAGATCAACCCGTGCATCAGCGTTTTCAAAATTATGGAGGCTGGCACTCCTGCTACCAACAGTTCGTTCAAGCTGTCCCTGACATCAATCAGCTTTCGCGGACTCTGCTCCAGAAAAACACCTGTACATATTGATTCAACGTACTTGACCCACAGCATCTTGTCGGCGCTGCCCGCCTTGGCCATGAACATCGCTCGAGAGATAGACCTCCCCGAGCTTTCCACAATTTGCGAAACCAACGTCTCGTCATCGATCTCGATCGCCGCCGCCAAATTCTCCGCGCTAGGGAGCGGAACACGGATCAAGACGCACCGCGAACGCAGAGGCTCGATGACTCTAGAGGCAAATGCGGAAACCAACACCAATCGACACGAGGCGGTGAACTTCTCCATCGTCCTTCGCAATCCCGCCTGCGCCTGCTTGCTCAAATTGCCGGCGCCGCGCAACACGATCGTCTTGTGCCTCACGTCACAGTTTTTGAAGACGGCGGCGATGGACCCGTTGTTGGCCATCTCCTTGATGGCGTGCTGCACCACATACGTGTCGTTGGCACCGGCGTCGCTCGGTTCCATCTCGATGTGGTAATTGGATACGCGAACGTCGATCTCGATCGTATGTTTTGACGAGGCTGTCTCCACAACGCGTTTCTCGGCAGTCACTCTGTTCACGCCCGGACCGTACAGTTTCTCCAAGAGGTGTCTGACTAGCGTCATCTTGCCCGATCCCCGCGGGCCGTGGAAGAGGAGGTGTGGGATGTCTCCGTGGCGCGACATGCATGTCAAGCGATCCTCGATCTCGGGGTGCATGTTTTTTTATTGCGTGTGTGTGTATGTGTGTGTGCGTGTGTGTGTGCACCACGAAACAAAATTTACAATTTAATGTCGTGAAGAGCGGGGGTGTCTTCGTAGACGTCCTTGAACTCGTCGCGCGGCGGATGAGCGTGAAAGCGATGAGTTGGTTTCCGATCGGCCACGAAGAGGTCGTGGTACATTCGGGGACAGAGCAAGTAGAGGAGGCAATAAAGCATTTATATTGATTAAATGTTTTTATTTTGTTGGCATTTCCGCCACTCCCTAAACTTGCTGCCGTCTAACATCTGATGACGCGAAAATGTTGAGAGCATCGGCAATGTCGGCAGACGAGAAAGGTTTCGTGATCGAAATTGTTCTGGGGTCGTCGAACTCGTGAATATCTCCACTGCAAAGAATGCACGGCAAATCGCTTGACAATCCCCTTACCGCACCCCTCCGCAAGCTGTTAATAAAATCAATCCCCGTCTCGTCCCCCATAAAGCTGTCGGTGATCACTATATCGAACTTTTCTTGGTTTGGTTGACCAAGGAGAGCACGAGACTCTTCGGCCGAACACGCGCTGACAACGTCGCAACCAAACGAAGTCAAATACTTCGACATCAGCCCCCGAATCAAGACCGAATCGTCCATCGCGAGAATGTGGAACGAAAATTGCGTCGATATCTGCCTTGGACTGGAGACGATGCTGCGACGTGTTCGTGGAAACACAAGCGTGAACGTGCTTCCTTGACCCTCTCCGGGACTCGAAACGTCTATCTTCGCTCCTATCGAATTACAAATTTTTCTCACGTTGGACAAACCAAGGCCGGTTCCCGAGTTGATCTGTGATGCTGGTCCGCTCCTGAAAAACAGATCAAAAACTTTACAAACGTCAGCCTCGCTCATACCGATGCCGCTGTCCGTGACGCGAATCTCAACGGTGCTTTCCGAGCAACACCCGGCTTCCAAAACGATTGTCCCGCTCTGCGTGTACTTGACGGAATTGCTCAGTATGTTACACATGATTTGATGGAGGCGCTCCTTGTTAATGTATACTTCCAACTTTTCACCGTCGGCGATTCGCACGCCCATCGTAATGTCTTTATCCTTTCCCTCCAACAAAAGCATTCCCGTACCGACCATCGAATAGACATTCAACAGTTCCTTTATGTCAACATCTTCTTTGGGGACAACGCGATGGGCTTTACTTCCGTTGACCATATCGACCATATCAGACACTAGCACGTTACCCAGAATGTTTACGGACTTCACAGTTTCCAGAATGCTGTTGTCCCCATCGGTCTCGCCCACCTCGCATAATGCCTGGATTAAAGTTGCATTGTTTTTCATATCGTGTCCGATCCGGTAGAGGTCAAGGGTCTGTCTCTCGGCCAGCTCTTCCGCCTGGCAACGAGAGATCTTCTCAAACGTCTGCAGATCGCGGAGCTGCGACACCAGAATGACCACGAATGCGTTCAAGGCCGACAGTGCCGCGATTCCCATTTGAGTACCTATCAACACCTCGTCTGTTTCACGATCCTTCACGGCATGCACAAAAGGTCCTCGTCCAGCCGCCGTCAACCCTAGGATTGATCCCATGCACGCAAGCTGGACGAGACTTGCGTGGAACTGATCAATACATGCACTGACTCCAACCAGCAGACCGTACATTACCACGATCGACGCAAAGCCGAGCAAGTGATAGTTGGAGAAGGCGCACATGGACGTGATTCCGAAAAAGGCGCTCGTGCCGCAAACCAGCGTGTTGGGCGAGCGAGATCGGGTTTTCCACAGGGCCGGCACGATCAGCAGAGGGTACAGTAGTGCTATCGTTCCCGACATATGTCCAAGCGTGTAGTTCACGGCCACTGAAAACAGATCGACGTCCGTGCCCAAAAAATAAAACGCAAGGCTCCCGGGAATGCTCGCGACAATGCTCGCGATAACCACCGGAAAGGCAACAAATATTGCAAGAAACTTGAGGGTTCCAACTTCCTTCTGTGATAGCACTGGAAAGAAGTGCTTCATTGAGACGTAACCAAAAAACTGACCCATCGAATTGCTTGCGCAAATGGCAAACAGCAATGGTACCGGAAACTTCCTGAAGCGGAAAGGGATGTAGGTTAACGTGCTGCTCGCGATGTGCCCGACGCGCTCGGGCCAGTGTGGATCGGGTGTGTGCAGCATCGCCGCGATCGCGATTGCAGTCTGAGTCCACCAGAAGATAGTGCCCCCGGGCGACGCGAAGACCTTGATGCTAACGAGGACGCCGATGTATTGTGCTATGAAACCTCCTAAAATGCGACCAAGGCATGCAAACATATATGTGGGTCATGACACAAAGCATATATTTAATTTACTTTCTTCAAGCATCTCTCGATGTTGGTAACATATTTGTCGATGTTGTGGTCGGACACCGCATCAAGTCGGACCATACTCCACAGTTTGGAAAACAACTGCGCCACACCACCGTCTCCACCGGGGTCTGCCATGTGGATGACGTTGCTGCCGACGTGGTGGTATCCGCCGAACATTGGCGCGAGAGCAACCCCATCGTTGTCGTTGACGATGCGCGTGCACGTAATCGCTCTGTCAAAGTCGGAGGCGAATGCTGCATTGCCGACCTTGGGGGCGCCGAACGTCACCACTTCCACGGGAACGTTTTTGTCGTTCTGAAAGTCGAACGCCGATATCGCCGACATTACGCCAGAAGAGTGACCTGCAAACAAAATGCTCGTGCATTCGCCGGACTCCAGCATCTTGTTGAGTTTTGCGTAGATTTTCGCCTTGACGGAGTTGTGGGCCATGAAGAAACCCGAATGGACTTCTACCTCGGGATTGGTGTGTTTCCGCGACAGAAAGGGTACTTTTGCCAGAGAAAAGTTTGTCTTCCAGTCGGCGGCACTGTCGCTCCCGCGGAAGCACACGGTGGCTTTCGTACCTTCAAGCGTGACCGTCGCCTGCGCGCCCGTGTCGGCACTTTCGACGTACGTGTCCGGGCTACTTTCGACGCTCTCCGAGTAGACGTCCCGACACAGCTTTGCGGCTCTTAAGTGGTCTTGAGTTAATTCAGAGGAGGAGGAAGGGGACGAAGCTAGCGCGATTGCCGGTTGCAACACGGTCATCAGAGATGACACCCGGGAGACGCATGAGCTGACTATTACCGAGAACAGTTGCAAGAACTGCATTTCGCTTTGGTTTACCCAAATGCAATATTTTATTTCGTTTTCGTGAGCCGTCGAGGAAGATTTCAAAGTAATGGCGAGCTACTAGTTAGATGCGCTTGCTCTGCCGAAATGTCTGTCAGGGCCACCTCACTATTGGGCTTGAGGTGGATGGGAAGAAAGCAGATAATTTTGCACCGGCGCGCAAGATTCGCAAAAGCACCGGAGGCCGCAACGTTTTCGCTCATCTTCGATTTGAAGTTGTACACACTTGCGATTCCGGACATGATTCCGACGAGGGCTGTCAATGAGGCGACTACATACTTGAGGCCATCGTCATCGCTTCCGCCATCCTCACCACAGGGACTTCCCCCGGCGGCGAAGAACGATGCGCTTGTAGCCGCAGTCGCGACAACGATTGACGGTATCATCAACATCCTGTACTTGCGACGACAAGCCCTTGCTGCGTCCGCGTGGGCTTTCGAAGATTGCGCGCATTCATACAGCAGATTTTCCATCAAATCAAGGACAGAGTTATTCCAGTCATTTTGGTATAGTTTCTCCTTCTGGAAATGACTGAGTCGGGCGTTGGTCCCAACTTGTAATCCGGGGTCAACTGTGTGTTTTTTCGTTTTGCTCGTGATTCGCGCGAGCCGTTCCCGGTTTTCTCTCGCCTGCGTCATGGTTTCGGCTCCGTACTCCTGTGCAAAGATGTTTTCTGTTCCCCCCAGTGCTCCCTCCAGTTCGTCGAGATCGACGGTTTCCACTTTTTCTTCGTTCACCGGTTCCATGTTGCCAGGATAAACCTTCATCGTTTCACTAAGCCTACAAAATATTTATTGGTCTCGCCTCGCTAATTGGTCGAACAGTCGAACAACGACGACCCATACTCCAAAAACTCCTGTGCCACTGGTTGGCCGAAATTGTCGTCAATGTACTGGAGAGCCTCGGCGTTGCCGAGATCCCACAACAGTTTCATCGTTTCCGCCGAGGACCTCGACAGGGACTCCGGCGATCCCGATTCCCAGAGATCGTCCATCTCGCGAATTGTGTCGTACACTCTTCCAGCGTTCGACGAGCACAGGTTCTCCAAGAAATGCTCTGGGCTGTGGAAGCTGCCTGTGATGTCGTCCTCGTCGACGTTGTCAAAAAATTCGCTGGCGTGGTATGCTTCGAGGGCGTCCTCCGGGTGATACCCGACGCCACAGGCCCTGAAACTCTCGCCGATAATACATGTCCGGAGGACCTCGAACATTTCTCCCGTGTCCATTTATTTGGTTTTCGTAAAATGATGCAATATGAAAACCTTGGCTCCACAGCCAAACTTTCCACCACAGTCTCGTTCAAGACGGGAATATTTAAATGTAAACACAGAAAGAAACCAAGCAAACCCCTAGTTTAAAGCGCACTCTGAACGACAAGACAAATATTCAGCAACTGCAGCTCCTCGTCTGCGCCATCGTTCAGGCACCGATCCGTTTCCATCAACTCCAGGCAGATGACAGCCTTGTCGGCATTCTCGAGTTCTCCCGACTGCACGACCCTGCTCTGGATCTCCGACAACACTTTTCCCACGGGGTAGCCCTCCCCGACGAAGGTTGACACAGCATCCACCACGTCCTCAAAATGCTCAAGATGCGACGGTGAAGTCACCGCCGACCACAGAGTGTCGAAGGCGCGTTCGGGCACCTCGCCCGCAACCTCTACGACGGATTCCGGCGTCACGCGATGCTGCTGCTGCGACACCGTCTGCAGCAGGTTGACAGCACTTCGCATGTCGCCTCTGGAGCTCTTGACGATCGCGTCCAAGACGCCCCGGCTGCAGTTTTCGAAGATGATGTTTTCGCGTTCGCAGATGTAGAGCAACCTCCCCTTCATCGACTCGGGAGTGAGGGTGCTGAATCGAAACTTGGCGCACCGAGAAGCCAGCGGGGCGATGATCTTCGACACATAGTTGCACACCAGGCAAAAGCGCGTCACAACGGCCTGCGTCTCCATCGTTCGGCGGAGAGCGGACTGTGCGTCGGCTGTCATGGTGTCCGCTTCGTCCAAGATCACGAGCTTGAACGGCGGACAGCCGGGTTGGAACGACGAGATCGACATCTTGCAGAAAGTCTTGATCTTGTCGCGCACGACGTCCAACCCGCGTTCGTCGGAAGCGTTCAGCTCGAGCACGCGTTCTCTCATGTTCTCTTCTCCCAACAGCGTTCGGGCCAGCGCCAGAATGGTTGACGTCTTGCCTGTTCCCGGGGGACCGTGGAAAAGCAAATGAGGAAGATCGCCAGTTTTCTCCGCTCCCTTTAAGACCCGTTTCAAGTGATCGTGGTGCACGACATCCTTCACGCGCCTAGGGCGATACTTTTCGACCCAGGGCTGCATCGTCAGGTCTGTTGTGGCAAGGTCAAGCAAGGCGCGCAGAAATTTACAGACAAATAAAATCAGATACAACAATATACTGAAATGAAGATGACGGACCGGGCGTCGGATTGCGACCTCCTCGATCTCGCCAAGATCGCAGAGATACAGAGCGAAGGCTTCTTGGTCTGCACCCACTTCAAGAGAGACAGCATGCGCCTGCAAATACGCAACGTGTCGTCGAACATCGGTGACGCGCCGTTCTCCCTGCCAGCAGTGCGAAGAGACCCACACCTCTTCGTCGGAAAGTGCGTCCCAGATTGTTTCAGCGAAAGCTTCGCCGATCGGATATCGGCATTGTTCCAACGGCACCTCGGGAACCGGTCGGCGCGCTGCTCGTACACCTGTGACAGTCCACACAAGAGGAGGTATCTCGTGACAGCCTCGCGGACGACGGACGGTCTCGTGTTTGAAGTTTTTCCGGATGACAACTCGCCACTGGAAGCGTTTGACATGGGACACGGTGGTGACCTATGTGCGCTTCTTGTGCACACGGAACAGGCCGCGCTCTTCGAGGCGGCTTGTGCGGCTGTGACCGCATCGGTCGACTACGATCGATCCATGGTTTACCAGTTCCAAGAGGATCTCTCGGGGAAGGTCGTGTACGAAGCCATCAAACCTTCGGTCGCGGAGACCCTCGATCCCTATTTGAATACGTTTTTCCCCGAGTCGGACATTCCCCTGCCGGCCAGACAGATGTTTCTCATCCGCCCCGTGTGCGTGATGTTCGACAACGACCTCTCTCCCGTGGAGATAGTCGGTGATAGGGATATGGATACGTCCAAGTGCATACTGCGCTCCAGCCACCCTATCCACAGGAGCTACATGCAAAACATGGGGGTGCGTTCCTCTCTCTCGATAGGTATCGTCGTCAACAACGAGCTGTGGGGCCTGCTGTGTTTCCACTCTTACGGAGGCTCAGTAGTACACCCAACCGGACGAGAGATAGGCTACTTCGAGAATCTGAGCGCACAGGTCTCCGTGTGTTTGTCAAACATACAGAGCGCCACGAGTGCCAGGCGTCAGACGGCTCTGTCGGCTATCGTGGACAAGGGTCTCTCCGCAGGCGACCTCCTCGGCTTCTTCGCGGAAAATGCCCCGGACCTGCTTCGACTGATGGAGAGTGACTGCGTCTCCATCAGGCTCGGCCACAAGAAGGTCAAGCATTGGGGAGATGCCGACCTCGTGCTCTCCGGCACCGATCTGGATCGCGTATCGAGAAATGCGTTTGGGAAAGACTGGTGTCTGGAAGAAATCGATCGACCCTCGCGCGGTGTCCTCGGCATCATCCACGGTAACCTCTCGGTTGTTTTCGTGCGAAAGAGCACCCCCTGCGATAAAGCATGGGCCGGCGATCCGACCCACGTGAAGATGATGCGCCCCGATGGCGTCCCGGGACCGAGAGGGTCCTTCGAGAGATACATCCAGTCCGGTGCTGACAGACTCAACCAGTGGAACGCACAGGACCGAGAGATGGCCACGTACCTCTCGTCTCGGATCGACATCCTCGTATCCACCACCAAGTTCTTCGCCGACAGAACCAAAGCTCTTGTTTTAGAAAGAGGCGACGGGTGTGTGAGGTACGATACCGAGAAAACGCCGGTATCCCTCGACGCCGCGCTCATTTCCCACTTATCACACGAACTCAAGACGCCGCTGCACGGCGTATCAAGCGTTCTCACTCTGCTCTCCGAAGAACAGTCCATCGGAAACGCCGATCTGCAACAACAACTGGGGTATGGCCTCGAGTGCCTCGACACGATCTCGAAGGTTGTCGAGAGCGTCCTGACCGCCGCCAGTGGACGCGCGCACCGGAAAATCGAGAGTGTATGTTTGGAACGTTTTGTCGATTCTCTCGCGGAAAAGTATGCGGGAAACAACAACCTGACCGTGACCATCACAGTTCCCGAGAATTACACTCGTGTGATGGTCGACGCCGATCTGCTTCACAAAACTATCTGTGGCATCATCGACAATTCCACGAGCGCGGGATCCATGGTCAAGCCTACGCACCTGTCTCTGTCGTGCTGCTCGACGCACCGCGAGGCTACCATGGCCTGGAAGAGCAGAACGAGAAAGTATGCTCACAGAAACATTCGAAACTCCGAAGACACCTCCAACATCTCGGATTCCGATTGGTGGTATACGTTCAGCGTCCAAGACCCAGGTTGCGGCATTCACAGAGACATGGTCGACAACGTGCTGGCGTTCAACGACAGCTCAAGAACAACGACCACCGTCACCAACTCTCACCAAGGCATCGGCGTCGGTGTCTACAGGTGCATCGCAAACGTTTTCGAATTGAACGGTAGCATTGGCATCGCGTCGACTGTCTCAAAAGGGACGATAGTCTCCGTCATGCTGCCCGCGCAAGTCGTTGTCGCAGACGAGAGCACGGTGCAAGGTGTACCGGAAGCCGAAGACGTATTTTTTGTGGTCGATGACAACACCGTCAACCGTCGGCTGGCGTCCCGGCTGGTCAAGGTCGCTTTCCGCAAGACGACCGGTGCTGTACCATTGGTTGAGGACTTCGCCGACGGACGCTTGTGCATCGAAGAAATCAAGCGTATGCGAGAAAGCGGGAAACAAATTTTAGGAATTTTGATGGATCATCACATGCCTGTCATGAGCGGCAAGGAAGCAACGCAGTTCATCCGGCACACCGAGGCTCAGGAGGGTCTGGAAAAAATACCCATCTTCGGGTTCACGGCGGACAGCACCGACTCCACAAAAAAAGAACTGTTGGATGCTGGCATGGACGATGTGCTACCGAAACCGATGTCGATGAAGGCGTTGGAGCAGACCTGCATCAAGATACTGTCTCGGAAAGAAAGCTGATGGCGACGCTCCTCCTGTACTTGGCGATAATCCAGTCGAACGTCGAAAGTCGTTGCTTTCGGCCACCGGGTTTCTTTGTTGACATTTTCGCGAGAACGGCCGCGTCTTCGGCGATGGTCTGATGCATAATTCGACGCGCGACCACATCCCCCAAGTCGTGAAGCATGAAGTCGCGCCCCAAAGTCCAAAACATGCGAGACGACGTCGATGTCAGCGGGAGAACGCTCACGCGGACACTTTTCATGCTCGAAGAGAAAGCGACATTGGAGTACGCGGAGAACGGGCCGTAGAATCCGTTCGCCACGTGCACGACCTCGCTCGTTCTTTTTGCCAGGCGCGGATTTGAATTGTAGTTGTACGTGTAGCCGCTCGACGTCGGAGAAGTGACAATCTTTCTCATGTCTTTCAGACGAGGGTCATCCTTGTTCTAACCTCAGGCGCTACAGTCCAAACACTCCTTGTCATCTTCTTCATCACCGACCGGTTCTTCAGGAGAAACGGTAAACTGAACAGGGTCCGCGACAGGCCTACTCCTGACGTAGTAGCTCGCGGTTTTCAAACCGAGCTTCCACCCATAAAACAGAGCAGACGAAATCTTGGCCACGGTGGGCCTCTCGAAGAAGATGTTCATGCTTTGCGACTGATCGATGTAAGGGCCCCTCGCAGCAGCTTGTTCAATGACAGCCTTCTGGGAAACCTCCCACACGTTTTTGAAAAGCATGCGCGTCTTCTCCGGGATGGACTCGATCCCCTGAACGCTGCCACCACCGCGAATAATGGCGTTCTTCATTTCACCATCCCAGAGGCCTAGTTTGATAAGCTCTCTGATCAGATACTTGTTGACAATGGGAAATTCCCCACTCAAAACACGCCTGTTGTACAGCACGGCCGTTGAACATTCGGCAGCCTCTGTGCCACCGGAGCAGAATGACGCAGAACTCGCCGTCGGCATCAGAGCTGTGAGAAGACTGTTGCGCATCCCATATGTTTTCAGGTCGCCCCTGATCTTCGTCCAGTCGTGGCGGGAGTCGTCCACCTCGTGACCCCAAAGGTCAAACTGGAGCTTCCCGAACGACGCGGGTGACCCCTGAAAACTCTCGTACGGCCCGTCGATCTTGGCCCGTTCGATGGACGCTTCTACGCTCCCGTGATAGATCGTCTCGAAAATCTGTTTGTTCAGCGTCGCTGCCTCCTCTGACTCAAAGGGGAATCCCATCACCATGAAGACGTCGTGCAGTGCCTGAACGCCCAGCCCGCAGGGGCGGTGCTTCATGTTGGACAAGCTGCATTCCTCGAGGGGGTAAAAGTTGGCATCAATCACCTTGTTGAGGTTCTTGATCGCCTGTTTGGCCGTCTTGTGAAGACGCTCGAAGTCGAACGTCTTGTCCGGCTTCACGTGCCTCACGAGATTGATGCTCGCCAGGTTGCAGACGGCAATCTCCTCCTTGGACGAGTATTGAATCACCTCTGCACAGAGGTTCGACGAGCGGATGGTACCAAGATGCTGCTGGTTGCTCTTGGCATTGCACGAGTCTTTGAACAAATAGTACGGCCCCCCTGTCTCTATCTGAGACTCCACCACCTTCGCGAAGAGCGTCCGAGCCTTGATTGTCTTGCCGATGCCGTCGGATTCGTATTTCTCGTAGGCTCGGTCGAAGTCGGCGCCGTGGAGATCGATGAGGTCCGGGGCGTCGGACGGAGAGAGAAGCGTCCAATCGCCGTCGGCCTTGACTCGGTGCATGAACAAGTCGGAGACCCACAGCCCATAGAAGAGATCGCGCGCTCTCATGAGCTCGTTGCCGTTGTTCTTTTTCAAGTCCAGGAACTCCAGTATGTCGGCGTGCCACATTTCCAAATACATGGCGAACGACCCCTTTCGGCGCCCGGCCTGATTGATGAACCTGGCGGTGGACTCGAAGCATCGCAGGAGGGGCACTATGCCGTCACTGACCCCATTTGTGCCTTTGATGTACGAACCCTTGGCTCGTATGTTGGAGACGGAGAGACCGATCCCTCCCGCGAATTTAGAGATCTTCGCCGTCTGTTTGAGCGTGTCGTAAATACCATCCACGGAATCGTCTTGCATGGCCAGGAGAAAGCACGAGCTCAGCTGGTTGTTGACGGTACCGGCGTTGAAGAGCGTCGGGGTGGCATGTGTCATCCAGCGCTCACTCAATTCGGTGTACGTATCGAGCACGCTCTCTATGTCATCCTTGTGAATCCCGACGGCCACTCGCATCAACATGTGCTGAATTCGTTCCACGATGTTGCCATCGATCTTGAGAAGGTAAGATTTCTCAAGTGTTTTGAAAGCAAAGAAATCGTACTCCAAATCTTTGCCGTAGTCGATCGCGCCGTCCAGAAGGTGCGCGTTGTCCTGGATGGCGGCGTGCACGTCATCGGCGACCATCCCATAATCATGTAGGTCAGCCATTGTCTCGACGAACGACTCTTTCGTTTCTTTGTGGAGACTTGAGACGGCGATCCGCCCGGCCAGCAGAGAGTAGTCGGGGTGTGAAATCGCCATGTACGCCGCTGTTTCCGCAGCCAGCGTGTCCAATTCTGTCGTTGTTACCCCGGCGTAGACGCCCGAGATGACTTTCTGGGCGATGGCCACGTGATCGACGTATCTGGAGTCCAGGCCATAACAGAGCTTTTTGATGCGCGCCGAGATTTTGTCGAAGAGAACGTTTTCTTTGCGCCCGTCCCGCTTGGTGATGTACATGGATTCCATGGTGTTTGATTTGATGATATGTGATATTATTTTTGTGACCCCTGGGACGCTCATGGCACTACAAAGTTAAATGTACAAATTTTTGTACCACGATGACATGCGCAATGTTTACGAAAAACAATACCCGTTCCCCCTCGTCACACACGGCACACGCAGTCGCTGGCTTTCCATGGCGTTCCACAAGCCGTGCAAGTTTCCAATCACCCGATACGAAGGCGAGTATCGGCCGACGTGGACTCGGCGGTGGACAACAATTGGTGGCAAAAATGGCTCCTGGCAATTCTTCAGCCACGCGCGTGCCATATTACCTGACAACAACGGCGAATCATACACGTGGGAGGGCGAGTATGGCTGGTTCAACCTGATGCGTCCGATGCTGGCCGGGCCGAGCAACGACTGGGGGGCGTTTGACTTGGCGGGACTCTTGCAAATCAATCAGAGCGGAGAGTTAATCAAAGCGTGTGGCTGCGTCTCTCTGAAGGCAAACGATCTGAGGTATTTCATCCGTGCTGGAATAACCGTCGGCGCACATTGCATTGATCGCGGGATCGACAACCTGTGTATGACGCCGGCTGTGTTTTGCATCCCCGGAACGGGTGGAAAGTTCGACCTGACGCTCGTGACCACGAACAAGACCATTGGTAAGACCCTAGTCGAGGTCTACTTCCTCTGCGGACGCGAAACGGCAGAAGTTCGGAGCCGACTCCCCGGGATGCACAAGTTTTACCGGAGGGCGCGCTTAAAAAAATGTTTCGCCAATTTTGTAAACCTTTTCGGCGGCGCGTGTGGAGATTAGGCGATCTTAGACTTCTCTATCGACTGGTATAGTTGCTCCGGCGAGAAAGGCTTTGTAACTACGCATGTCATACCCGCATCTTGACACAGTTGATAAATGTTGTCCGCGATGCTAGCGGTAACCGCGACTACGGGGACTCTCGGTATTTCTTTCTTGTCACAAACGGAATGGATTTCTTTTGTCGCTTGAAACCCGTCCATGATTGGCATGAGGCAGTCCATGAGGACGACATCAAAGCGATCGTCAGATTTCTCGAACACCCGGACAGCATCCTTGCCGTCGCATGCCTCGACAACCTCGGTCACCTTCAAGCCCACGGCGTCTTCCATGCCTTGTAGCTTGCGGTCGAGATACTTGCGATTCGTTGCGATGTCATCCACAACCAACACCCTCAAAGTCTTGGTGGTTGCCGATTGTTCCTCGTCGCTCGGGGACAGAACTTCTGCCACAACACCAAACCTCATCGTCGTCCCCTCACCCACCTCGGAACGAACCACCTCTATTTTTCCACCCAAGAACTTGGACAACACGGTAACGATGTGGAGGCCGATACCGATCCCTCTCATGGACTTGCTTCCTTGAAAGAACTCGTCAAAAATTTTCCCCTGTTCGTCGGCTGGAATACCGACACCCGTGTCTTCTACGGTCACGCTCAGCATGGAACTATTGCAGTCGAAGCCGCAGTCAATCGACACGCTCCCCTTGTTGGTGTATTTCAAGGCATTGGATAAGATATTGTCCAAGATCTGATTGAATTTTGCCCTGTCGAGTGAGATCAGCGGTGGCATGTCGTCCATCGACGAAGACAACCGCAGTCCTTTTTTCTTAAACTCCCTCCTGTGTCGTTTGATGGAGCTGGCGATGACCTCTTCGGGGTCACATGGTTCGGCGTCTAGCACCATCGCGTTCGACTTCAGCTTGTCCAGACTTAGGATATCGTTCGCGATGTACAATATTTGCGTACAGGAGTCTTTGATGACCGAGAGGTCGTACTTGTTTCCAAGCAGGTCACACTCGTTCAGAACCGCGCAGAGTGGTGAACGAATCTCGTGAGACATGCGCGACACAAACTGTTCCCTAGCACGCAAGGAATCTTTCATCACAATGTCGGTCACATCCGTATGCGTGCCTATGATTCTCCAGGGGGTTCCGTCCGGGAGCCACTCTTCCACGGATCCTCTGCAGACAATGTGTACGACGTGTCCATCTTTGTGCCTGTACTTGACCGTCAGGTAGTACGGAACTGCGCCCCTGCTACCCGAGTGCTCTGTGAAATTCGCCATCGCTCGCCTGGCGTCGTCGGAGTCAATCTTTTCCACCCAAGCGTCTGGACTCTCGTCCATTTCGCCCTGGCTGTATCCAAGGATGGACCAAAACCGCTCGCTCATGTACTCGTAGTTTAGCGCCGGGTACCATTCCCAGAAGCCGTCTGTCGCGAGGTCAGCCAGGATGGTGAAGTCCGTTACATGCTTCATGGTTTTGCTGTGTGCGAGGAACACCTCGACAGCGATGACGCCCGCGCTCGTTTCGCCGATTGTTATCAATCGCACCGGTACGTGTTTCCAAGACCCGAAAAAGGCGTTGTCTCCTGTGGTGAAAATATCTACGCATATGCCTTTGGTACCCAACAGTCTTTTGAGCGACTTGCTGATCGGCGTCAGCGTAGCCGTGGCTTGGTCGTACGCTGCAATGTACGACTGCGTGACCGTCTCGAAGTGTTTGTATGGTCCGGCTACCGACATTCTTCGCGGCCTTTCCTAGGCACTGCAAATATTTTTTTGGCGCAAAGTTTTAAAAGAACGAATCTGGACAATTTCCTTATTTATTATATTTATCATTATTAATAGAAAAAGAAAATGAACCAAAACAGAAACCCACTTCGAAGGACAGACTTCCCACAGATACCCGCTGATGAAATACCCGAATGCGAAGGAAAATCAAGGCGTGACTGCAAGGCCACACCGCGTTGCCAGTACTTTTCCAATACGTGTATACCTAACCCACGACAGCTTGTAGCAAATCAGCTGCACGGGAACCAAGGAGAAGTCAATAGAACCATTTCTGCCATATCGGAAATACCTGTTGAAACCGTCAGAGAAAAATTCAATGCCGCCAGGGGAAGAGGGGAGAACGATGATTCCGCCATGGAACCCAATCAAAATAGATGGTTTGCGACTAAATTAATTTCCAGACTCAGGGGATTGGTACAGGGGAACGCGAATAGTGATAATTATCCCATCGACATTGGTGATGATAGAAAATGGTCTCCTGTAGACAAAACACTGATGGAAAGATTTGTCGAAGAAAATGTTGCCCAGGACCGCTGTTTGTTTTGCCGCGACGGTCCCCTGGATGACAGTTCACTCGAACAGATGAGCTGTTGCGGTGTGATGACACACGAACTATGCGCGAGTGGTTACTACGATAGTCTCCCGAACGCCACCTGTGCCAACTGTCAAGCACCGAGGCCCGATGGTCATATACAAGATGCATATGATCCAATGGTGGCTCAATATCCTGACGTTGAATTGGTGCCTGATGAAGAGCTACACGGTGCAGACGATGACCCGTACATCTTAATTGGAAACCAAGGTCCTACGGTAGCTGTTGATAATGCCAATGGTTTCTTCAGCTTCCCCGAGGTAGCTGATCCTATAATCAGCGATGAAGATCTTATTGGTCTAGGAGGTGTGGATTATGCACCCGACGATGATGGAAATTGTGTAACAGGAAACTTGCAGAATGACCGATGTAGAGTAGATCTTAATTTTGCACTTATGATTTCAAAGGTTTGTGTTGACTCGGATATTGTTGAGTTTGGAATGGATGTTAGAATGAGCCGATATGTAAGAGAAATTTATTATGAGATTGATCGGCTTCCAGTTTCGACAATGTTTAGACAAGGTCTAGCATACCACCACGTGGATCTTGATTTGTACAATAACGACCACGTACTTGTTTTGAGACAAGCTAGGACATGTGGGTCGTTAAGCAACATAAGTACCACAATCAACGGCGGCAGATTCCCAAAGTTGGCAAGGACAGACAATGGTGGTGCAAACCCTTCTCTCATTTCAGGATCGTTGATTGTGAAAAACCAGTCGGCGTCTCCTCTAGATCTTGGTCCAATCGCTTCTCAGATTGAGTTTGGCCACGTATACTCACTAAAAACGAATAATGTATCATCCAACGCAGTTAGCCTGAGAGTACTTTTTGAAAACTGGAAGGTTTCTCGGATGCATGACATTCAAATTCAGGGCATAACTGGACCTGTACAAAATATCATGATACAACTGGCAAATAGTGCCGAGTGGTCGAGATATGATCAGGAACTGAACGACGAACCATACTCGATGCGTTTATCCGGTCAGCAGCATAGAACTATCCAGCATTACAACAGCACCGGTATGTTGCATTTGACAAACTCAGAACGCGAGTCCTTTACGTCTGGATAATGCTCCGACCCACACACGACGTAATTGAAAACTCAGGCAACTGATTGCCGAATAAAGTACATTAATCGTCCGCGCAAACTGTTATTTAGTCAGACGTCAATCAAAGATGGCATCAAACAATAGGCGGTCGACCCCATCCTTCTCGCTCAGAAAGTTGTCGACCTTAAAGTCGCAAATATCAGGAGTTCCAATAATTCCGTCGTCCAAATCCTTGAGGAAAGCCGTCGCTCCCGGGTCGTCGGCAATCTGAACAAAGCTGATAGCTGCGTTTGTGTGGTTTTCTACGAAACCACTCGCTGGATCCGCGTACTTGCGGATTACATCCTTTACAGCCTGGCGGTCATCGGCGTCTCCGTCAAGAATCACCAAGAATGTAGTGCCGGGGACGGTCTCGAAATTGATCCTGTTCTTGCCCAAGTAGGTCTTCATGGCGACATCAAGACACTTTGCGAGGTCTGTCCTTCCGCGCGGCTGGTAGTCGTTGAACACCGACACGATCTGTCCCGAGTTCGTACATTCCCCCACAAACTCAACCTGATCATCAAACAGGTACAGCGGAATGCTTCCATCGATATCGTACTTGAAAACAGACTCTACGATTTTCTCGACGGCCTTGCGAGCACTTTCCCAGCGCGTCGTCTTTCCATCCGGCCACGACATGCTTCCAGACCGGTCGATGATGAGCACATATTGACGCGCCAGTGCTTCTTTTTCGAGGTCACGTTTCTCCGAAGGCGACTCTGCCATCTGCGAAATGACCTCGGGATTCTTCCTGGCCTCAAGAGCAAACTCCTTGGGCACGGTAGATCCCTCGGCGTTGCGGAACTCGGTCGAAGCGGGTGCAGCGGCAGGAAGCTTCATGATGATGTCTCGGAAGTCTTTGTAAGTTTAGAGAGCTGGGGTGGGATGAATTGTGACCGATGTGGGGCTTGTTACGTTTAAACTTTACGCATCACATTTGGCAAGGTACCCACACAGTTTCGATTTCTCGTTCTCGCGGATCCCCCTAGAAGGTCCATTCGCCCCTATTGGTCGAGCATTTATCGATCCTGAATCTAGAGTAAAAAATCGAAGTGTCGAGGGCCTCGTGCAGTAGTGTTTTGGTGAGCCAAATATTAATTGAACAGCTGTTCTTGAACGTTCTGTGTGAAATCATGCCGTAAAGGCCACGGAGGTCATGAAACCTGACTCTCATGTTCTCCGTGAGAATTTTAGCGGCGTCCCCTAGCTTGTGCGAGTATTTACTATTTATTTCCTGATTGGTCAAGTTCTCGCAGGGAATCTTTTCTCTCACGCGCCTCAGCGAGTGTTTCAAGTACTTGTATTTGACCAAGAGCGGGATTTCGCACTTGTCCTTGCACACAACTTTCTTTTTGGCCGCTCCGGTGAAGAAGCACGAGTAAGGCCCGCGAGCATCGGTTCCTTCTGAGAACTCGCCCGTTTTCAAAATCTCGATCGACCGACGCCCACAGACAAGACTGATGCACGCCGCCAGCATGAACGGACACTCGGTATTCGCTTTGATTTTCTCGGTGCATCGCTGCACCACTTCATCAGCGTCTGGAATCTCGACACAATCCATCGACCTGGTTTCGAGGCTCTTCTTTGACAGTTCGGACGAACTCGTGCGATCGGTCTCGGTCAGGCGATACTCCTTCATGTAGTCCGGGAGCAGCTGTACTTTGCACACGAGGTCGTCGAGTTTTCCGTCCCCCGTCAGACCTGCTGGCGATTTTGCCGCTCGCCACTTCTTCATCTGTGTTATCATGTCGTCTTTCATGTACTTCCGGAGTTCCTTGACCGCTCTCCTCGGGTACGTGTTATCGGCAGCGCACGCCGTCCTGTACGCTTGGTCCATGATAGTGTAGAACTGTTCGTGGCGTTCTCCAAACTTGCACCACTCGACCTTCACGCGGCTCATTTGCGACGGGAACGACGAGAGTGCGTACTTGTTCCGCAAATTGTCTAGCACGGGCTTCGCGTCTTTGGTGCGGTGCAGAAGCTCCGCCTGCTCAAGGATAAACTGAGACGGCATTTGCTTTCTTTCTTGAACCTTTCATATTTTTTATCCGAAAGTGGCGTTTCTTTGAACCACTTTCCACTTTCAGCGCGCACCACCTCCCCCCTCGCGCCCCCGCCCTTCCCCACCTCGCTCACTTCCCACACCTCCCATCGCTTCCCCCACGCCCCTCTGCCCCTCTCGCCCCGTTCAGCAAAATGGTGTCCACAGAAACGATTGAAGACCCTAAGACGATCGGCATGCTGAACAAGATAGGGTACAGAAACCTCGGTTATCTCGGGGCGCTCGTGCAGAAGTGGGAAAACATGGCCGACGAAGAAGTTTCGTTCACGGAGTGGGTACTCGACAACGGGTTCATCGAGTCCACGACCAAGTTCGCGGATGCCGCCAGGCAGCAGAGTAAAGTTGACTCTGGGAACATGAAGTACTTGAAAAAGGAGTTGGAAGAAACGAGAGAAGAGCTGTCGGAGACTAAGAAGGACGTCGCGCGACTCGTGAGCGTCAACAGGGACCTGTACGACAAGATCGACAAGATGCTCCACCCGCACGCAATCGCCGTCAACGACATCCGGGACACCTTGATTGCATTCAACAAAGAGAACCCCGCCGCGGTAGCCAACGGTAGCGGCGTGACGTTCGGCACAGGACACGTCAAAATCAACAGCGTCGACAGACTGGGGGAATTTCTGGCGACGGTGCATGCGCGTAAGTTGGGTCTGCCGTCCAACATCCTCACGACTCTCCGGGTGTTTGTTTTGGAGGGGAAGTTGGTGACTCTCAGCGATGAATACCATGGTGGCGTCGGGTACTCGTTTCTGTGGAAGAAGAAGAAGAAGAGCTGGGGCGTGGAGGGTTGGGCGTCGGAACAGGCCAAGAAGTGCGATCCTAGGTTGGGAATCGACCCGGCGACGGGTGTAAACTACGTCGACCCGGAAACGGGTAAGATGTGGATCTACCCCGACCTTTTGAAGCAGGAGAGTGGTGGTGACTCCAAGAAGAGAGGTGTATCAGAGACAACACCCGAGTCGGTGGCGAAGAAGATGAAGTCGGGCGAGGAGTCGGAGAAACACGGGGAGATCAGCAACCCGGATGACGGTGGCGGTAGCTCAGTTTCAGTTTCAGTTTCAGTTTCCGTTTCGGGGTCGGAGCAGGGGCAGGAGCAGGAGCAGGAGCAGGAGCAGGAACAGGAGCAAGTGGAGAAGGAAGAAGGAGAGGTTATTCTTCCGTGAATGGTTTCTTGCAGAAGGACGTCGCCAGTCCGATTAGCGCATCCGCAAGTAGAATCGCAGATGGCACCGTTGTTTTAGGAGAGACGATGAGTAAGATGGCAACGCCGACACCACTCAGCATGTGGACCGGTCGGTACCACCACACGTCGTTTGGCCGAGCATCTCTGATTTTTTTCGAATTGAAGAAGTACGATGCCAAGCCCGAGATGACAGCCACGCTTCTCACGAGCGGATGGCTCCCGAACTGATACACGAGTGCCGCCAGCGACAGTCGTATCGGGACACAGATGTTGTAAAACATGCGCGATCTTTGCGCTGCAGTGAAGCCGGCAGCGGCTGTGGCAGACATTTTTACACCATTGGATAACATTAAAATTCGGGGAGAATGTCGAGCATCTCGGTCGAGCTTGACGAAAAGTGCGAAGGGAATTTGACTTTGATCGTAACGAACAGCGCCCCCTTTTTGGCGGGGATGCCTTCGTTCTTTACACACACGACTGTCTCCGGGGGGGTCACTTTGCCGTTCGGCACGGAAATCTCGATCATCCTGTCGTCGAGATGTTTCACGCTTTTGGTGAAGCCCGTCAGAGACTCTTTGAGGGATATGTGCATGACCGTGTGCAGGTCATGGCCCTTTCTCGTGAAAGCGCTGGATGGCCTTTGAGCAGTGGTTATCACTACGTCCCCCGGCAAAGAGCCCTTGACGCTGCTGTAATCCCCCTTTCCGCGGAAAACGTAAGACATGTTCGGCCGATCTCCGGGGTTTACCACGGGCTCCAGCATGACCCTCTCGGTGCTCATCCCCGTAGATTTGCATGCGCTGCACGGATCACCGATCTTTCTGAGCTTTCCCGTCGCGTCACATGCCTGGCACCTGATCGAGCTGCGGAACACGCTGCCATGCGAGGTCACTGAAAAGCCTTTGCCGGCGCAAGCAACACACGGTCTCTCGCTGATTTCCTTTCCCCCTTCGCCAACACACTTCGGACACATAATCGCTCTCTGCACGGCGACACGGAGTGTCTTTCCCCTGTACAACTCTTCCATCGATAGGAATACGGTGTGTTTGACAGGCTTCGCTTTCCTCTTGCCGGCATCCGCCGCGGTGGCCGGACCAGTCTGGTGAAATCCTTTGAACCCTCCTTGGAATCCCTGGAATCCCTGGAATCCCCCAAACATGGAACCAAACACCTCCTCTACCGAGAATCCGGGAGGAAAAGGTTGTTGTTGGCCACGACCCTGACCCTGTCTGGCGGCGTCTGGACCGTGCTGGTCGTACACCCGCCGCTTAGCGGGATCTTTGAGCACGTCGTACACATCGGTCAACTTCTTGAACTTCTCCGGATCACCGTTCTTGTCCGGGTGGTGCTGCAGGGCGAGACGCCGGTACGCTTTCTTTATCTCTTCATCGCCGGCGCCCGCACCAACGCCCAGGAATTCGTAGTACTCGGTGTGACCCATCGACGCTTATTACTCAGATACAAAATTATAAATGGCATGTTTCAAACGAGCGAATGCTCCGGACGCTCTTCACAGCCATTTGCTACAACAGATACGGGACACGAAAAACAGCGTAATTGCCATAAACGCAATACAGAGGTAGAGGACCGCCGTAAAGATCACGGTCGTGTCGAAAGCATAACTGTCGTCGTACTCGTCCTCGAGGAACTCCTTCACATCGGAGCAGCCAACAAAACCGCTGGCGTCCAGGATATAGGAGCCCGTCTCAACAGAGCACGCTGAGATGTTCCGGTGCTGGCCGAAGTCGTACTCAGTGGCCATGGCGAAGGCCACATCACCCGGTACTTTGCGCCAATACTCCTCGTACTGTTCCGTGGCTATGTCGAACGTCAAAATGCGAGAGATCGTGGAATGATCCTTTCCGTTTCCCTCAAACAAAGCGATGCACTCTCCTTCGACAATGCACGCCCGGTAGCCCTTTTCATACACTGACAAACCCGTTGCAGTGTAGTCCTGCAGGTTTGCGCCTGTGAGAGCACTACAGTCCAACGATACCAAAGACTCCGCCGACACCAGGGACAACACGAACAAGCAACACCATACGCTCATGGCAGCCGTGCGCATGACGTATGACTGAAAATACAGGTCTCCGTCGAATCTTTCCGCCAAACTTTGGACACCCGTGTCAGCCCTTCCACGCCACAACAACGCCACAGCAACGCCACACCATGGTGTCCATCATGGTCTCTTCACTCGGCGACCAAATGGAGGCCATGATCCGTGCCAAGGACAATGGCATTCACAAGAGTTTTACGTCCAGCGTCCGTGGCCCACCGACCGATCCGCATGGCGGAGTCATGGTCCGATTCGGGGGAAGGGACCACCCCAAAAAGCACGCCGTCTCTCAGGCCCTTTGCTCGTTCCGGGGAAGCACGAATATCAAGTTCCTGCTGCCTTTCCAAATCCAAGCGATTCTGAACATGGCCTTCCGCCCTTCACACACGTTCGTGGCCAAAACCATCCTAAGGACCAGCACGTACGGGAGGCAGGAACAGAACCGCACGGAAACTCAAGTAGGGACTAGCGTTCTCAAGTCGTTCGACGACGACATCGGCATGATGGCCATCAACGACCTGTACACGGGTTCGGGCAAGACGCTGACGACAGTGCTGGGCGCGATAGTTTTTGCCGACAAGCGTCGGGCCGAGATCGGAGCCAGGGTGCCCTTTCTGATGCGAGAACAGGTGCACGGAAACTGGAGCACAAGAGTTCAGTGCGCGCTATCCAAGGAACACCAGAGGTCGCCGAACACCTTCCCAACGTACACGAACGTCATCGTCGTCATGTGCGCCAAGCACTTGTTGTCGCAGTGGAAGTCGGCGTGCGCTTCCGCTCTGCACATTCTCGGCATGGAAGAAGTGCAGGTGCTGGAGAACCCGCTTCCCGGTTCAACAGAACTGTCCAACGCGAGCCTAAAAGTTTTGCTCCTTCACTCGGCCGCCAACCTCACGAGGCTGGACCTGGAGTTTGTGCCAGTGATCGTCGTGGACGAGTTCACCATCAAATCTACATCCAACGTCCTCACCAAACCAGCGGAAACAATGCCGCTGCACGGCCGCATGATCCTGGTCAGCGCCGACGCCGGCAACGTGAGAGACATGATCCACGGATCGAACCGCCGCAGCTTTCTGCGCAAGATGCTGCAGTGGGACGACATCAGCTACTTCCCGGAGGCGCACATCGCCATGGTCGCCGGTATTCCCCTGATTTCGGCGTCGGTCCTTCAGACAACGGATAGGTACGCGGTCGGCGAACTCATGATCAACAAGCTCCGGGAAGTCGGCTACGAGAAATACACGGTGAGGTACACGCCGTCGTTTGCGTCAAGGATCTTCGGCAGCAACTTTGAGATGAGCGCAGTCTCTGGAAGCCGTCTCATAAGAGAAAGGTTCGGTATCGACCTGGCGGGGACGAAGACCATCGGCCAGGTCCTGAGGATCGTCAGCAACACCATAGACAACCTGCGCACGACGGACGCAAACTCGAGGGCCATAGCGCCGCTCACAGACCTGAGAAACAAAATCAGCGCGTTCGTCGGAGAGAAAGAGGACTGCCCAATCTGCCTAGAAGAGTACGAGATGGATTCGGGCGCAAGCCTCATCAATCCCTGCTGGCACATTGTGTGTGACAAATGCCTTCGCGCCATGATGGCCGTGAAGCACGACACGTGCCCGCTTTGCAGAGTCAAGATGGAAGGACACACCACCGCCGTCATTGACGACCAAAGTAGTGTCGCGTCGGGTGCCTCTTCTCCTGGTCAAAATACCAGGATTGAAACCAACAGCCGCCTCTCGCTCCTGCAAAACATGGAAGCCGTGCTCAGGCCGACCGCGGGGTTAGAGAAAGCGTGCATCGACACCCTCAGGTGTATCAAGGCGGACGTCGGCGACCAACCGTACAAGATCGTCATGATTGTTCCAGACGAACACTTCTTCACAAAGTTCGCCATCGATGTGCGCGAAGAGATGACTGCGTCTCAGATCGGAATCATCGAGTTCAAGACTATCGGCAACAAGAGGAAACACGTGACCGGAAAAATGGTCTGTGATCAGCTCGCGTCCTTCGCGTCCGACCGAGGGCCTCCGCTGAAAATTCTGTTTACGACCGAGGGCAAGACGGACTCTCTCACGGGGCTTGACTTTCCCAGGGTTGATTGTATCTTGTCTTTGGGGGACGGAAACAGCCTGCAGCGGCTAGGTAGGCTTACGCGGCTCCCGCGGATGATGGACGAAGTCAGCGCCTCGAAGACTGTGCGTTACATTTGCCTTGAACCCGTGCCTTGAATTATAAATTTAATGTTTATGTATTATTAAGACCAAGAAAGATGTTTCCTTTTCGTAGCTACGCGCTTCTTGTTGTTGCCGCTCTCAGTGCTCTCATGAGCGGAGATTCTCTACACTCCTCGCCGATCCTACATGGCCCGGCCGGCCCGAACTTGCGCATCGTGGCCGTCTCGAGGGCAAAAGCCTTCGATCACATCAAGCAGTGCCAGCTTGCACAGCTAGGGCAAAACGCGCCGGCGCATGTATGCGGCGAGCTTGATGTGGCACGGGAATTGCTCAGGGATCCCTGCAAGCAAGACTTAAGAGCGGCCTTTCTCGTCCCTCGTCTCTCGAGACAAATTCTGTTCACGATTGTCTATCGCGTGCGAGAGCGCCGGCCGAACGTGTACACGTTGGAGGCAGTGGTTAGGGAACCCGGCTACGATGTTCGCTCGAGCGACCTGCAACACGTCGTGCACCAGCTCGTGGCCGACAAGCGAGGGTATTTACAGTCGTATCCCCTGAAAACGTGGGCGCGTGGAAAATATTGCAAAGAATCCTGCTTGGAAAAGTTGTGGGATTAGGCTCCGAGAAGCTTGGAACAGCGGAATTTGTGCATGACGAACTCCGTCAGCTCGTCGACTCGCTGTCGTATTTGCACGAATTCGCCGCGGTGTTGTGCGTAAGGCTTGCACGACAATCGATCGTCAACTGTCTCGAGGTTGACCACTCTTGTTTTTAGTTTGTGCAACCATCTTATCGATGCATTCGTCTTGTCTTCTTCATGCCCTAAATTGAAACAATGCTCGTCAAAAAAGGCTTCAAATGCCTCCCACACGCTCGTGAAGGTGCACTGGCATTCGCGAAGTTTCAAGTACTGCCACGCGAGCGCCTGATTCGCCGACAAGGTTTCGGCCACGGCGGGCGCAGGTTCGCCTTGCTTGATAATCTGGTCGACCAGTTCCGCGAACGAACAGTCGCCCTCGTCGGCATTCAGAGTCATATTTATTGATGTGTCATCAATATATATAAAAAAACACTCACGTGATGAGCA